GGCCCCATTCACACAGTATCCTGTGTGAATGCTGCCCCCTGGAGGTGTGCAGTTTGACTTCAAGGGTCTGGGTAAACAGCCAGTGCCATGGGATATGCAGGTCAATGATAGAAGAACAAAGTGGGAACACAGGAAAGGAGCAATGAGTTCTGCCCAAATTAAAGATTTTTATGGAGAATTTAAAATTCTCTCATTTTCAAAAGCACTTTCTTTTATGGATCTGTGGAAGAAATGAAGTGAGACTGTGCAAATTTTTCTAAGGAAAAACCTTTCTTTTCAACTTCGGACAACAAAGATGTTTCAAAAACTTTGTTCTGAGGCTTACGCAGAGGTAGTTGTCCCTTTAACGTACTACCTCATCCCCAAACTGCACTTTTAGACGGATTCTCGCAAGTCAGTGGACCTGGATTGTTCTACCAAGATTTTAGATTCCACTTGAACCGTGTTTGTGTGTTCACACACATTTCCAGGGGTGGGGAGAAAGAACTGATGAACTGGAACAACAACAACAACATTTTCAGTTGATAGGGGGACGGTTGGTAGGAGGGTGATGGGGGAGTCTCTTAGCTTCCCCCAGAATCATCGGGTAGGTAAATGGAATCTCCTTTCCTGTCACTACTGCACGTTATCACATCGTGGCGGCCGGCAGAGACAAGCTATGTCATTGCGAGAGGGAGGGGACAGCAGTCCCATGAGGAAGGATCCTGGGATGTAATTTACTGAAAAGCACAGTAGGGTCTTCACCATAGGGAAGAGCTTTACGATAGGGGTTACTATGTGTGATGTTATGATGGAGGCTCCCTCAGATACCACCGAGGCCGAGAACAGCCGAGCTGCTTCTGATTAAACAGTGCCAGACAGTCACGAGGGGTCCATATCCGTCCCCATTCTTAGTCGCTTGGCAAAACCTCCAGCCTCGTGTGTAAAGCCAGCAAGCCAGTGTTGGCCCGGCTTTCTTCCTTTGTTGGGAATGGAAAGCGCCGTGGAAACACGATGCGTTCGCCCCGGTTGGAGAGGGCGAGGTGACTACCACCTGAGGCCACACGAAAGGCATCCGGATACTGCGTGACCACCAAGGGAGGCGACCTCCAGGAACGTGTTCACGTTACTTGCTTCTCCGAACAGGGGAGAGTCTATAGCCTCTCACTGTTTGCAGAGGGCTTGCCAAACATTTCTGCAAAGTACTTAACTTCCTACATCCCTTTGCTCGAATGTGTGGCTAATGTTTTCACTAAGGAACCCGGCCATTCAGGAGCTCCATACGCCACAATTAGCCGCCTGTCTTCATCTGTCTCTCTCCTTTTGTCCACAGACTGAACTGTGGACCTGTGCAGTCACTCACAGTGACAAGAACCGCACACGGGCTCTCGCCGGCCCCCTTGGCCAGCGAGCGACAGCCAGGGAGGCCTGGACAACGAAGATGCAGACAACTCAGGCCTTCTGAGGCCCGCGGGAGACACAGCGGCTCTCTCCATGCTGCGGGCACCAAAGCCCAAGGCTTAGCAGCCAATAGAAGCTGAAGCGCCGGACCAACCGCATGGATTTTCATTTTCTAGAGCTGAGGGTGTTCTCCTCACTGGCACTTGCTCACAGCACACATTTTGCACCTAGAAAAGATACCACAGCCCAGATTGGTGCTTATCCTGTCTGGGTTTTTAGAATGGCCAGGTGCGAGAGGCTCTTCCCAATGTGAGTCTTAGCTCGTTGAGAGCTTCGTCACATCACAATGGACACGTATCGATCTGTCATTTCTTCAGCTGCTTCCCCTCAACATGAAGTTGAGCCAAATGAAACTGCACTTTTTGTGGGTCAAGAAAGATGGAATCAAGAAAGAGCAGCTTTATATTGTTCATCTCAATAGAAAGGATCACTAGGAATCAGCATCTATGAAGTGGCTTTTATGTCCCAGGCCCTATGTGGGGACTTGAACGATGCTTTCTCTCTTAATTTTTGTTCACGACACCATGTCAAGGTGCTAGCATTATCCCCATTTAGCAGATGAGACAATGGAGGCTCCTAGAGGTTAAAAAAAATTGCCCAGGGGGCGCCTGGGTGGCTCAGTTGGTTAAGCAACTGCCTTCGGCTCAGGTCATGATCCTGGAGTCCCGGGATCGAGTCCCGCATCGGGCTCCCTTCTCAGCAGGGAGTCTGCTTCTCCCTCTGACCCTCCCCCCTCTCATGTGCTCTCTCTCTCAAATAAATAAATGAAATCTTTAAAAAAAAAAAAATTGCCCAGGGGCTTAGTAGAAAAGATGAAAAAGGAACCCTTGCTTGTTTGTCTCAAAGGCCTAAATACTTTTCACTCTGCCATGGGTAGATTTTGTTTTACAGAGTCAGCAGTAAGGCACACAGGTGGTTCACGTGAACTCAAAAGGAATAACCGAAACAATGACCGAGTTATATATTATGTTCCTACCCCACCAGATGACCTCTGGTGACTCTCTGCTTACAGTGACGTACAAATTCATTCAAGTCCTCAAAATTCTGCTAGCTTCCCTTTCTAACGTTATCCCTTATTGCCTTCCTTGCGCTCCATTCTCCTAGGTCACATCTCAGATGGCCTCACTTAACGTGGCGGCCACTTGTCCATGCTGCATTTTCTTCCTGAAACCATCCACCCGGTCTGTAGAATCAGCTTCAGAAATGGTACCCATTCTTTGAGGCCCACTCTGAATGTCTGCTGGTCCGTGACTTTTCCGTGTTCCCCTAAAAGATGTGAATGCCTCTTTCTCCAAACTTCCATAGCCCCTTGAAGGCCTGCCCTAGTACTTACGCCTTCTGCTCCCATTGGTGCTATGGCTATTTGGACACTTGCCCATCCTCTCCCTAGAGTAGGGGTTGGGGGCAAACTCATCCTGTAAAGGATCAGAGAGCAAATATTTGGGGCGTTGCAGGCCCTACTGTATCCGCCACAACTACTCTGCGGTTGAATTGTGAAAGCAGCCGCAGATAACACACAAAGAAATGAATATGGCTGTATTTCAATAAAATTTTATTAACAAAAGCTGGCGGCAAGCTGAGTTTGGCCCCAGCATGCCAATCTGTCTTTGCTCACTGGGTCCCGATTGGGAGCAATTGTGTCTTCCTCATGCCTTTCGTCCCAGCTGTACTGTTTAGCGCCACTCATAAATGTTTGTGGAATCAAAGAGAATTTTTAATTGCTGGGCTCAGAGATACTGTTGTTTAGTTATCACGAAGGCCCTGAGAAGTCTGCAGGTTCCTCTCCTCCTACAGTTGTCTGTGCATGCCACTGAGCTGCCAGAACCTCTTGACCTGCGGCTGATTTTTCTGCCGGCTCAGGACCTTGCCCAGAAGCTTCAAAGGCAGGCTGACTTCTAAGGAGCCATAAAACACCCCATTTTGTCAGCCCCTTCTCCTGAACCTCGGGAAAACACCAGCAAGGTTTACAGTTATAGCAAGCCACCTTAGGCTGAGCATCTGCCAATGCGACAAGAGAACTGACACAGAGTGATTTTTCTGATTCAAAAGGAAAGAGAAAGGTGGGTCCCAGGGCAGGGAAGAAGACTGCAAAGACCTTTCTCTTTCACTGAGCCAGCGGGTTACTAAGTCTGTAAGTGATCTCTCATGGAGAGCCCCTCGCCACTCGTGGGCTTCGCTCATGAATGTAGTTGCATGGTTATATGAAGGTAGACCTTCAGAGGCCTGTATATCCATCCACAGCGTTCTTTCCAAAACACAGCGGCTCACCCAGACCATATTCCCCAGGCGCTGGGGCAACCTGCTTTCTTTGCTGACAATAGTTTATGTATTGAGACGCTTCCATCCTTCCATCCTATTGGGCGTGTTCAGCAGGGTATCTGTCCTGGTTTTATAGTTACTGTTAGTTCCTGTCCTCAGTCAGCTCTGACCTCCTTCCTTCTGTCTAAATCTCTTGATACGATAGAGATGACCTGAATACCACTGGCCAAAAACCAGCAGCTTGTTAGTTATAAGATTAAAAAGTAAGAATATAAGGAAAGGTTCTTTCCTTATAAGATATGTAATGACCAGCAACTACAGCGTCTTTGGTATGTCTCTCTTCTCATAAATACATTTACTCTATTTTCTTTCTGTCTGGGATTGTGGCTGGGAAATCAGTGTGGGTGAGAAGAGATGATACTTAAGCATAAACAGATTAAGAACTAATTTTGGAGGTTTAGTGATGAAGGAAACATACCAATTCCCTGGTCCCTACCTGTCTGATGGCCGATCCTTCCGCAGACACAGAGCCAACTGCTCTGTAGGGAAGGCTGCGTGTTATTGCAAAGGATGGGAAGGAAGCGAGTCAATAGAGTAAAAAATAAAATCATGTTCTTTGCTGCCAAGGCATCCGGACATTTCTACTCTTAGCTAGTGAGAGTTATCGGTGTAACAGGGCTCTCTGCTCTCTGCCTCGGTACCCCCACACCATCGGCCCCCTCCCCTGGGCCTCCCTTCCCCTCCTTACCAAGGCTCCTCCCTCTCAAAAAGAAACATCAGGTTATTTTAAAACCGTGACCTGAGAAGGCCTCTAGGGCAAGCCCATGCAAGCTGCTTTCTGCAGCAATCCTAATTGCACATCTGCAGCAAAGCTGCCCCCAGTATCCGCCTAGAAGACAGAGTCATGTTTCTACAACCATACCAGGGGGCACCACTCTGCTGCTATGAGGAGTATACCATTTGATCGTTATGTTTATGAGATCATGCTCAGGAATATCATGTAAGACAACTGAAGGGAACGCCTGATACAAATTTCCCCCATTCACCCTACGTGCTTCTCTTCCTTTCCATTTAGCTACTTAAAAAGGTTGGAAATGTGATTCCTAATCACACCACTAGACCAGGTCCTTTATGCCAGGCCCCGTGGCCAGCCTGCCCCGTGGGCTCATGGCAGGAGCTGGTTGGTTTACCTGCCTCTGGAGACATGGCGTGGAAGGAAATGGGGTGAGGGAGAGGACGGAGGTGGGGAGCAAAGGAAAGGCCCGTGTTCAGCAGGTCCCAGAACTGACGTTATTACTCACATGTGTTGGGAAGCATTGGGGTACAGTTTTGAAAACTGTGGGGCCGAGTCCTCGGGGCCGTGGGGCGCAGCGTGGCTGATCACCATCATAATGGGCCTATGGGGATACATTCTCTTAGACATTTTGAAGTAATTAATGCTCTCGTTAGTGATTAAGTCTGTGAAGTAGTCCTGAAACATACATTTGACACAAAACAAAAATTACAAAAGGTGACATTCATCAGATCACATTTGAATACTTCTTTCTTCAGAAGCATCTCACTGAGTGAAGGGATAAGGTCTAAAGCAGGAAGGAAGATGATACTTCCCAAAGCAGCAAAACATCTTCTGTAACAGACAAAATCAGTTGCCAGTTACTTTCTAGGGTGGCTAGCTTGGTAACATTCAAAAATTGTATTTTGAGTAAGGTACAACTTAGCAATTAGGAAAGAAAAAAAGTCCAGTCCTGTTTGCCCAAGATAATGATCAGATCTGGCAATCCAGATGCTAGAACCCATGAAACACCGGATACATATTTCATTCTTAGGTTTCATTGATGTAATTCGTTGACAAAAAATTTAATTACTTCAAGGGCAGGAAACACCCACGCCCACTACAAATTCACAGTTGCAGAACACATACACACACACACGCGCGCACACATGCACATGCACAAACAAAAGAAAAGGTCTTTTCTTTAAATTCAAAATTCACCTGTGGGAATTATACATTAATTGCTAATGAAAGCCATAGCCAAAATCTGGGTGCACACGGAAAAGCTGCAATATTTTATCAATTAATTCACTTGAAACACTAAATATGGGGAGCATTTGATTTCCTGCAGATTATACTGTTAATTGCACAACTAAAATGATACAGCTGCTGGGATTTGAGCCTGACTTGTTAATAAAATGACCCAAGCTGCAGTCTGAGGGACTGATGCAACTCTGTAAGGGGGAAGGAAGAAATGGAATGAAAAGGAACGATGAAAACTTAAATTAAACCACCTGCTTCCTCTAAGTGGGTATCGTTGGCCTGGAGCTTCAGTACAAAGTTTATTCAGAAAGTGCCCAGACAGCATTCACAGTGTCAGAGGCTCCCAGGCATGACTAATCACATGTAGATTCAGGGACCAACACAGCTGCAAAAGCAGTGCCCAAGGGAGGAAATCTGTGTCACATGTCATTGTGAGGACAACTCCACAGGCCATCACCTTCTTCCATGGGAGTGTCTGTTTCATTCCTTTTCTCACCAAAAAAAAAAGCCATATATTCTTTCCGGACACAGTTGTCTTTGACACTTAATCAGCTGTGATAATGGGCAAGTTACGCTAATTTTAGTCTTTGGAGGGATTCTTGATTACTTTGCTCTCCTTAGGACAACAGGGAAAGAAAGGTTAATAGCTTGAACAAGGAGCATGAAAGCATCCCCACAGATAAAAAATGATAGCGGTGACAATTAGCGCACTTTGTAGGACATTGCTCAAATCTGCCTCCAAGGTCCCCGCCAGCTCTCAACTTTGTTGAGTCTGGAATCCTATTAGCAATGTTTGTGAATTCATTTGCATTCATTGTTTTCTGAAGGCGACGAAAGAGCGAGACTACAACACCTTATCTCCCACCAAGCTCCTCGAGCTCAAATCGGGCCAAGCGTAAAGGCAGCACTGTGCCAAAATTAAATCAAGTTCCCTCTCTCTGATTTCTACCAATGGCTCTTTCGTAGTGATCTACGCTAGATAGAGCAGATTGTCGGCTTCTTTTAGATAAGTGAGGAAGAGCTGGGCATGGCTAGAAGGGAAGAGGTATTTTAGGCTAATTAGCAGGCTAAATTCGAAGGTATTTTCCCCTTCACTCTTGTCGTCTGAAACTTGTTTTATTTTTGGTTGGCAATCACAAAACCTTTGTGAATTTTAGAAAGTCTAATCTGGGATGGATTTGTTAGAGACACGGAGGGACGTGTCGATTTCAGTTTCTATGAACTGATTTGGAAATCCGGGGATTGACGGCCCCAGGGACTTTTGTGGACTCTCGCTCCTGTGGGGCCGATGTCCTTGTCACATATCAATGCTTGGTCAGACAGGAGGAAAAGCGAAGAATGTGGTTTCCCCGACCTTCGATTATTGCGCTTGTCTGCTCTAAACCTGAAGCCACAGACAAAATGCACTTTTACGCCAGTGAAAAGCGAAATGGTACAAGATGAACATTTGATTATGTGGACAAATCCTCTAGGGAGTAGGAAAAAAAAAAAAAATCACAAGTCCGAGTGGAGGCATCTATGATTTTCTTGATGATACTTCATCAAAGGCTGATTGCCTTTCATCCTAATGAGGGAAAAAAGAATCACTATTCAAAGTCAGTGTTCCTTGAAAATCTTTTTCTTGCCTGGAGTTTAAAATTACCTTAAAATTTCTCATTCTAACATTGTGAGAACATAGAAAGCCAATCTCGTGGATAAGTTAACTCACTGAAAATGGCTTTTCCCCATTATGCACAAAGTAAATTGATGCAGCGTAAAAGTGGCTGAAAATTACCTTTGCATAATCAAATCCATGCTTTTCTTTGATGCCATTACGACAAACAGTGTAATTATAGAAACGAGAATTCTTGATTAATCCAAGCCATTCTCGCCATCCAGGAGGGATGTAGCTGCCATTATATTCATTGAGGTATTTTCCAAAAAAGGCTGCAAAGGGAAAAAAAGGGATTACTTTCTCATATGAAATGATTAATCACAAATAAATGCATAAATGCATAAGTATGAAATTAGGATTTGAAAAAGGGGCAGTAAAACAAAAGTAAACGTTGGTAACGCCAAAATAATAGTGTAATACCCTGATCCTTTGGCAAAGTGACACACGGACATTTTCCTTTTGAATAAATAAACGTAGTACCCATGTACATGGATTATAGCGCAATAAAATCACCATAGTGATCATGGTACTCGGGGTGCATCTGTTTCTTGTGGTTCTGCTAGAATAAAAGCAGAATGCACCCTTTTGTTAAGTTGATGTAACAGTCAGAGAAGTAGCCAGTGGAAATGTGGAATGCTGTCTCTGGGCACATAGTTGGGGGGGTGGTGCTGAAAGTTCAGTCTTGGTGAGAAAGTAAGTTTTCCAACTGACTATTTGAGAGTTATAAATTATAAAAACCCTATAGAAAAGTTTGTCTTTGTGTTTGCATATCCAGAATACAAATTTTCCAAGTCAAGGAACCATGGTAAACTCCCGTGTCTTCAGCACATGGTAAGGGTTTTTATGTCACACATATTTTATGGCATTGGTGTTCACATTATGTATATTTTAGGAATGTGTCTATTAGTGATAATAAAAAATTCTGGTGACACAGAATTACTATGCAGATGACTAACTTTCATAGACTCATAGTCTAAGAGAAGTACATGGGACACAGACACTCTACTGCTCATCGACGAGGCCCCTGGAGGGACTTCACATTTGTAACTTTGGCATGTCCCACCTAAGGAAGGCCACTGGGCAACAGAGCTTACTGATCCTTTCAGAGGGAAACTTTGGATTTGGATTTGGTCCTCTGCCAAAGAGGACGAGAAGAGATGGGCAAAGAGGAGAGAGTAGGGCAGGTTGGGGTTTCGGGAACAAAATGGGTTAGATCTTGAAGTCAAATAACTTGTAACTATCAGAAGGGTAGCCAAAAATGTATTGTCGGCACACTTTTGAGAAAGAGGGTACTATTACTTTTCTTTCTTTTTTTTTTTTGATATGTTCACTTACTTTATTTTATTTTATTTTATTTTATTTTATTTTTTTAAAGATTTTATTTATTTATTCATGAGAGACAGAGAGAGAGAGGCAGAGGGAGAAGCAGGCTCCCAAGGAGCAGAGAGCCCGATATGGGACTCGATCCCAGGACCCTGGGATCATGACCTGAGCCGAAGGCAGACGCTTAACCATCTGAGCCACCCAGGCGCCCTGTTCACTTACTTTAATCACACTGCATATACCATGTTATCGCCGCAGAATGTAAATTCAGGTTAGACAAGAGAGCTTCACAAGTGCAATAGAGCATTCTGGAGTATACCAAAGTTTGTGTGTCATGGCTGACCAAATCACCTTGCTGATAAATCATTAACCACTTCAATTACAGGTAATGTGTCAACATTTATGATTCTTACAGAGAAAATAAACAAACTGCATACATTTAAGAAGTGTTTCTCCTTTACCTTTGCATTAGCACTTAAAATCCACGCCTCTATTTCAAGATGACATTCAAAAGTTATTCTGATACCACAGCGGTGTAACTCTAACTCTGCAATTACAGAAAAGCCAAACTGGGATCCAGAGGTGAAGGTATTCTCATGTTTACATGCATGATTCTGAGACATATCCTACTTCTAAGAAGCTGTTACCAGATTTTTAGGTTTGGTTTAAACACACACACATTTTCATTTGTGGGGAAAGTGGAGAATGTTGTATTCCATGCACTGTTCGAATGGGTTCTTTAAGAGCCAACCAGCCCTCAAAACTGCAGGATTCGGGCACCTGGGTGGGTCAGTGGGTTAAGCGTCTGCCTTCGGCTCCGGTCATGATCCCAGGGTCCTGGGATCTAGTCCCACATTGGGCTCCTGCCTCAGCGGGGAGTCTGCTTCTCCCTCTCCCTCTGCCTGCCGCTCTGCCTACTTGTGCTCTCTCTATCTCTCTGTCAAATAAATAAATAAAATATTAAAAAAACCCCAAAACTGCAGGATTCAATCAGTCTGCAAGACAAGGAAGGTACTGTTTCTAATAGTTGTAATCTCACCAGGAAGGCAGGCATAAACAAGCACTATTCTGGGTAACCTAGATGGTTGGTCACCCTAGTAGCCATATACGTAGCCTTCCCCTTAAGTAGAAAGGAGCAAAGAAATTTTTATATGTGTATATGTAGGTGTGTGTGTATACGTGTGTGTTGCACGCACACACACTTATACCTACACATCCATGCATATGTAGTACACACATGCGTGCAAGCTTTAATTTTCCTGATTTTTAAAGGGCTGCCATCTTTTGTTTTAGGGAGAAACTATGGCTAATCAGAGGCCTTCCATGTCAAAGCCACTGTGTATCTTCACTAAGCTGGCTTCACAAGTGTCTCCACTTATACACACAAAGAAAGATGGTTCCTGGACTACAGGCCTGGTAAGATGAAAACAGATCCCAGAATCAGGCACTTCATTGGTATCGCCCTTAAAGCACACATTTCTGAATCTCAGCATTGTCCATGGTACATCATTTCTGTGTCTTGACGGGCTAGCTAGCTCGCTTTCATCCTGATACACAGCTACACGCAGGATACCTCCAGAGGAACGTTCTCCTCACTCTTAATAGGCTTGTCTGGAACAGAATGTATCCTTTGCCCTTCCGAGGGCACATCTCTCCTCAGATACCCTTTTCTTCTCTGAGTGTCATAGTCATCTTCCTGGTTGACCAGGCTCAGCACCCCAGAGCCTTCCCCGGTTCACCTGCTCCTTTGGTCCCCTTGCTGAGCAAGCGCCACCACCTGAAGATTCTACGTGGATCATAGCTCTCGAACCTGCCCCTCTTTCTCTGATTACTCGATGCCCCTCATGAATGCTCACAGTCTCCTGCCAGAGCCCCTAACCAGCCTCCCGGGTCTTTCCACTCTTAGTGCCACCTTCCTGAAGACCGGCTCTGGTGACATGACCCCATTGTCACAATCGTGGATGGACCCCCCCTCAAGTTTCATTTGATAGAATCAAGTTTCATTTGATAGCATGTCATGCAAGGCCACCTTTGGATCTGGACAAAATCCCTCTATTTCCAATCCCAGCCTGCATTTCTGTTATTTGTCCCTCTCTCCGGAGAGTGTGTTTTCTCCATTTGCTCTGGTTTTCACCTCTTACAGCCTTTGCCTGTGCTAGCTCCCTCATCCCCCCGATGTGTATCAAGGCTAGACCAGGTGCCCTTCCGATCCCAGTCTTTACCCAGTCCCACAGCAATTTGTCTCTGTGGCTTGAATGCCATCTTCCCTTCCTTCCTTGTGCTATAGTCCTGCTCGTATGTAAGGTAATCCCCCTTAGCCTGCAAGGCTTTGAGGGTGAACTCCGCCTTTGCCTCATCTCTATACTCCCCCTGCTCCCCATCCTTGCACATAGCCGAGGGGCTTCATAGTTTTTGTTTCCTGCACTGGGGTTCATGGGCCTCCACGTATTCTGGGGATTCTACAAGTTCTAGACTGATGTTTTCACTGGAATTATTAGTGGCTGAAGTTGCTATTTCTGATGAGATTTATTTTCTTTGAAGAGTTAACTCAAGCCCGAGAAACACAGCGATGTTTATTTGTTGAATGAGTGTTTATATGTTGAGTCTGCAAATGAGTAAATCCATCAAGTGGTCAGTTGGCCAAACGCCCACTGCTTGATTACTCTGCCAGGCCCCAGAGCAGACTGATGTGCGTGGGACTAAGTGTTAGAGGATCTCAGGTCGGCTAGGACTCAGGCTTTCCCTCTGAGCTGACTATGTGCAGTAGGAATTCTAATGAGGGGTTCTCGTCCTCAGAGACCAACGCTCTTTAGAATCACAGAGAACCACAAGATGATTTTCCTTTCTGACAAAAGGTGATAATGACTTTGAGTCAGAGGCAGCAGACCAGGGTCACACCCCGCCAACATGACTTCAGAAGGGGACTATTTCCAGGAACTTTGCACTTAATAACCTCAGGCCCTGCTCTTTCTTTTGGCCTGCTCCTCATCCCCAGGGCTCCCCCGACCCCACTTTTCTCTCCTTTCGTCTTAAAAGCAGCAGAAGAGTACAGTGGTTTGGAATATAGACCCGGAAGCCGGCCTGCCTGGGTTTAAAACCTGGCCGTGCTATTTGCTAGCTATACGCCCACAGGCAAGTCACTTGGCCTCTCTTCACCTCCAGTTCTCCCATCTGTAAAACCCTGAGGATGATAATAAGAACAGTGGTAGGGTTGTTGTGAGAATCCAGTGAATTGAAACATATGTAAAGCGCTTCAAACAGTGCCTGGCACCTAACAAGGGCTTATTAAATACCGCTGCTGCCTGTATTATTATTAGCCGCACCATTACCATCATCCTCCCAACGCTGTGTCCTGATCTGAAGTGCTTTACCATTCTGCAGTAGGACGTCTTGTCTGAGTTCTGTACTTGGGCGTCTGAAAACATTTTTCGAGAGGTTACATCTTTTTCTCCCCAGTCAGACTTATTTTGTGGCAACCAATTCCCATTTGGCTTACATGTCCCTGCTTCATTAGTTTTTAGATTTTTTCTTTTTCTGCCACATTCAGTTTTGTTCTCCGTTTTTCCCTCTGGGGGCAGCCATGACAGGTCTTTCCTGCCTCATTGTTGTCCTTGTTTGGTTTTTTAGCGCTGCTTTCCACCCACTGCCATGGCTATCGCCCCTCCCTTAATCCTCCCCTTACAAACTCTTCCTTCGAGTCTCTTAACAGTCCTTGTTACTGGCTTCAGAACTCCCTCCAGGTTTTCAGTGTCTTTGTGCTCATGGAGTGTAAACTATGTACTCAGGATTCCAGATGTGCCCTCACCCATCACACTCGTTCCAAGAGAGACCAGGACCTCATGCGTCACCACGCGGCACCCCTGGTGCTGTTGGCTTCAAGTTCCTCTGGCCTTTCTTGTTGCCTCGTAACACTGAGACTCATTTGTAATCACCCCTGGCCTCTTTCAAC